CCAGATACGTAAAACTGCTGGACCTCGAATGTCCGTTCGATTCGTTCAACCCCGTGGTCGCCAGAGGCGGAGGGGCTGGTCTGCCATTCGCCAGTCGAGGCACTTCCTGGGGCACATCCGAGCTGCTGCCCATGGGGGTCGCGAGTCGCAGCTGAGGAGGAGCGGGACGAGTAGAAGGTCGCTGAGGCTGGGGAGCTTCGGGGGCTGCTGCGGCTGCGGGGCCGGCGCCATTCCCGTCGACGGGTCTGCTGTTCGGGGATGGAGGAATGCCCAGCGTGAGTTTTGGAGGTCGAGGTCCGTTGCTGCGATTGCCAGGCACTGGTGGTCTGAGGAGAGGAACGGGCGAGGACGACATGGCGAGGTTGTTTTGCCTCTCCCCCGGCAAAAACAACTCGTTGGGATCAGCCAAGGTAGCCAGATCGGCGACGTTTGAGTTGAACGCCTTGGAACGAGAAGGGTCGAGGACTAAAATAGATAAAAGAGGGTGGACGAAGCAGCACCGGGGGTTGGTTCAACAGGTGGCCGTGGGGCCGAGATACACGCGGCGGATGAACAAAAGGAGGGGTAAGAATAATAGCTATAACAGTAGTAGGCGTAAGATCAAAGAGACAACACAATAGACGACACCGATAGATCGGAATAAACGAACGTCGGTATTTCTCTTCCTTTGAACAGAATCAAAGAAAGAGACTGGATGAACGAAGGAGGTTTGATGAGGATGGGAGTTGGGTGAGGAGAATCGAAGGATGACGGGGATGGGCCAACAACCAACGGTCGGGGAAGCGACAGAATTATTGATGACACGAAATATCTAGCAGCTGACAGAGTGTCAGTCAACTTGGATTGGCTGTTGGATGTCTGAACTGTCGAATATTTACCATCCACAGCTAGATGCAGAGCGATATGACGCTTATATTATATCAATTACCCTATGTTATACGCTGTTACTCGGTTCTATCACAATTCAATGCCAATCACAGAGCACAGCCAACAGACTCAATCGCGCTGGGGATCGCATCGGTGGGACCAGTCTGTTTCGAAAGGCGCCTAGAAAGTACCACTTCTATAAATATGCGATCTCTACCTAATACTACTTACTATCGGCTATATCCAGATAGTTTAGTATCTAAATTTGTTCATCATGATCATTAGATGATGGTGTTTCCATAATTGACATTGTCTTCAATCTGTGATAAATTTTGATGCAATTGTTGTTGTTGTTGATGGTCTCGATGTGTTGTCCTCGGTTCCCAGGCATCTAGGCATCTAGGCATCCATGAAAAATCTTCTCAATGAAACTCCACATCATCCATCCGTATCTACTTCTTCACGTCATCGTCATACCCGGATTCGAATGCTTAAGTTCTAAATGATGAGTTCATATGCTATCGAGCTTAGAATATCGACAGGTATCTTGCTCTGTACCAACTCCTAAGTGTGGAGAGGACGAGCATAGCCGAAGCAGTCAGTGGTCTATGGTCAGTCTAACAACTTCTCAGCCACTTTCCTTGCCCAACCTGGCAAATGTGGCGACTGTTGCGCCTATCCTATTTCGAAGTGAGACATCTGAGTCCTCAAGTTGGGAGTGTTTCAGACTCTTACTTAGTCTCCTGTACTTAAAATACTCGGATTTGTGGCTTGTGAGGATGGGTACTTGGGCCTGGGTGGCTGTGTCATCCACAGTTTGCTTGGGTCCAGATCCACAACAATCAACAATCAACAGGACTGCAAGTGTATGGGCATTCGGCATTCGGTAAGGGTTTCTTCTCGTGAATTGAAGACTTTGGTCTTTTACCTAGGATCATTGGCCTTTTTGCTCCGTAGGAGAGGTACTTGTCCTGGATTTCTCCACAGGGCCTTAGTTTGAACTGAGGCACGTGCTACTACCGTTTCAGCTCAACTTCAGCCTTGCGGTTGTTCATCAAAAGAGCCACACCAGCAGTGGACTTGGATCTTCTTCTTGATCGCGAGAGAGCTCAATATACTTCTGACATCACTTCCATTAAAATTCTTATAACCGACGACAAGCATTTGCGATGTGCATGACTACTATCTGTATGTCATCGTCACTTACTTCGGATATTCAGGCCCCACTGAGTCCTAAAATAGCCACCACCGAGGTCATTTACACCGAGTGTTATCAAGCAGTCAACGACAACTCTCAAGGAAATGATAACGCGGATGTTTCAGAGTTGGGATGTAAACAATGACAATCCTCGGCAATTGTGAGGATATTGGATGCATCTACTGTACTACCTCATATTTATGCCATCACCGAACTACGTCGTGAGACTGTACCAACATACATCATAGACGCGCGGCTCTGATGATCGTCGGTTGAGCATTTGCAATCCCCACTGCTCGTAGATCGTCCAGATACTTGCAAGAAAGGAATGGTCACGCGGGATATAGCGACTACTACCTCGTTAACTCGCTTGGGAGATATCGACCAAGATACGGAGTATGCATGCATAAACTGTTTGATCCTGAACAATCACCTGCCATTACAAAATTTACAAGCTTCTCGAAATTCGGTTGATCGTTCAGGGAGCAGAGAGTAGTAGACTGCCCCTGCTGATCTGTGGACCATTGACCTTGCCCATATCCTACCATACTGTGTATACTTCGTATAGGCACAGGCTGTATTGCTGTGTTCCCTGAAGTAGATACTCCGTGATCAATATGTCTGAGTGTCCATGAGCGACAAGGGTCTTCTGTTTATAGTATCCACTCCGTTAACCACTCTCCATAATTAATAACCTGTTTCTAATCAAAGCAACATTGGCTTGACTAGCGGACTAGATAGTCTGCTCGGTAGTTTGCTTGCAGTTGAGACAGAAGGATGGACCAACCCCTTTTCCATCAGATCCAGGCCTAATGATTAGATAGTCTCGGTTATGGTCATCGTACCCTTTTGGACTCAATGGATTAGCCGTAGGGACTCTGTACTCCGTATCTACTCCGTACGTCGCTTCGGAAAATAGAACATCTCTACGGAGTATTCTCTGGATTTAAGTAGTTGAATTGGCTTTGACGCCTATCACCGGTTATACCTAGCCAATGAAAAGTTATACGCTTGAAGATACTCGCTTTAGTCAGGGGTAACCAAAGGGGCTATTCATTAACATGTCTCTCCTCTGTGGCTTGTCCTTCTAGGCCTAATCATGGTCTCTTTCCGCTCACAGGACCAATAATACCAGTACTACTGCTACAGTAGATACTAGATAGATACCCTAAGCTTTAATTAAGCAATACAACCGGTGTGACTGTGGCGTCTCCAAGGCCCTGGTCTCGAAGCTCTCGCTCAGACTTCAGTTAAGTCAGTGTTTCGGTAGTCCCTGGTAGGGGTGCTTCAGGGCCAATTTGTGTGAAAGGAATTGGATCTGTGCATTGACCAGCGTAATACCTCATAGGCTCACGGCATATCAATGTAACATGCATCAATCCAGGGCATTGATTCAAAGATGACCCCAGTACTATTCTTAATTGATCCTTGGTTCCTGGCCATGATCATCCTTTGAAGTACTGGATCCGGACATGTTCAGATCCAGAGTTCCAAAAATTCAGAGACCACAATAATCATTCAATTCAGTCTGGCGCTCTGTCGCCCGTCCCTGAGCGAGACCGCCAGATTGAATGGATATCAAAATAAAGGACTTAGGGGCAGGTGGAGCACTGTGGCTCCACTAGATCTCTGGTCATTGGACACACAGCGGGGTTGGAGAGCCACAGCGGGAAAATGAAAGAGGCCTCTGAGTGGACCACGGATTCAGGAACGGCTAAGACATGAATTCTGATTGGTACACAGCGGAAAACATGAAACAGGTACTCCCAACGTTGTATCGCTTGGCACTTCAGATGAGATTGCTTGCGGGTTCATTATATACTATCATTTCTGTCCTGTACCCATGTATGGAGTAATGGAGAGTAGATTAGTAGAAAGTCAGTAATGGAAATTAAACTGGCATTAAACACTGCAATAGAAGAAGTGCAGAAAACGGCTGAATGTTCAGAAATACTACGTAACTCAAAAGCCTCTAACTTCGCTAGTTTCTTTCGACTCAGGGGTTCAGAAACGACAATTGGACCGCTTTTTTTGGTCGGCGATACTCGAACAAGCAATGGAACTGCGGGATCAACACCACGCAGCAGGGTCGCACTCATGGCCGACCAGCTAAGCACTAGGACGCTGTCTTAGGCCGGCTGATGCTATCCTCCACCAACCATAGGCTAGCCTCCGTCAATTCATCCCACGAGCGTACCTTTGCGGTACCACGTAATCATAAACCTACAGTACATAGTCGGTATGACGATCAATGAGATGTGATGGATGAGCGAACTGGAAATCCGAATACAATCTCATGCCTGTTTATCTTCACTCGAGTATAGACTATGGAGCAATGGTATCCAATGTAAACTGCGACTTTGGTGCAATCCCCTAATTTAGATTGCTAGTCATTGTAATATTGATTGACTCAGATCTAGTGAAGCCGTTCCAATCTAGTGGATTATTGGAGGAATCTTACAAGCTGAATAGAGAATACTCCGTTATTGACTTACTGGACCTAGTTAGTACTGCAATAATGATAATGATAATAATAATAATAATAATAATAATAATAATAATAATAATAATAATAACAATAATACTACTATGGTGCTGGTGGTGCAGTGGTGCAGCCCCCCTCGCTCTCCACCTGACACGGTCAAGTCTTTCTTTTGCCTTTTTCCCCTGAGACGATCTCCAGGTTTAATCTCCCCGTTCATACAAAGGCCCCCAAGTCCCCTCCATCGTTCCCTCGTTCTTTTCTTCTTGTTTCTTCCTCTCAAGCTCAAGACTTTCTTCCTGCTTCAAGCATCAAATCAATTTGACTTCGGTCGGCCACTCTTTCAAACCAAACCAACTATCCACACTCTCTTTTACAACCACGATATAAAATTTGCCTTGACGGCTAATTCCATCTACATCAACCAAACCAACCAACCAACCAGTATTCAAGATGCGTTTCACTGCTGCTTCCATTGCTTTCTTCGCCGGCCTTGCCGCTGCTCTTCCCGGTGACGTTCAGACCGTCTACGAGACCCAGGATGTTACCATCACCTCCTGCGCTCCCAGCGTCACCGACTGCCCTGCTCGTTCCACCTCCACCCCCTCGGGTGCTGACGCCGTGACCGCTACCTCCGCTGCCCCTACCACCAGCGAGACTCCCGTCGAGACTCCCTCCGCCAGCAGCAGCAGCGTTCCCGTCATCCCTGCTCCCTCCAACACTGCTGTCGCCTCCAGCGTCTCCGTCATTGCTGTCACCACCTGCGTGCCCACCGTCACCTACATCACCGTCCCTGTCGCTACTCCTAGCGGCGCTGCCGGTTCTCACACCTCCGTCCCCGTCATCCCCTCTGCTCCTACCGGCACCCCTTCTCCTAGCGCTACGTAAGTTAACCATCTCACAAGATATGTCTACTGAATATTCACTGACAAGCTACAGTCCTTCCATTCCTCCTGGTGGTCTCTCCACTGGCGCTGGTAACACCCTCAGCGGCTCTTTCGTCTTCGCTGGTGCTGCCGCCGTTGCCGCTCTCTTCCTGGCTTAGAGCAGTTCACTTCTTGTCCATAGTGTGAACCCGGGTCACTCGGAGGCTCCAGGACAGCGCTTCTGGATGAACTTGTCATGACGGAGTGACGGGGTGTGTGTGTCAAATAGTTGGGCTTTCTTTTGGGAGAGCAGTTTATATCCTTGCTTATACATATCTTTTTCCCACATTGTATTCTTGACTTGTCAATATGATGATGTAACTTCAACAATATTTAATTTGTAATGTTCTGCTCGAGAGGTTGTCTATTCTAAGAAAGGCGATCATATCTCATCTTGGTCAATGATCGCATGATTCGTAAAGGTACTGCAACTACCGAGACATAAAGGAGTCACCGTCTATGGGCAGATGCAAGGCAGCTTAATCTGATTTATGAGTGCATAACCGAGTTACTTCTAGAAGGCTGAGTCGAAGGTGGAGGCACACGACACAAGGAGTATTCTGGAGATAGACACCAGGTGATCCTCACAGTTAATTCCCCTTAAATTGATATTTATTCTTCCAACACTCCAAGAAATGCTCTTCTAACCCAGTACTCCGTAGATAGTAACAAAGACAGCAACGCAAAGTTAGAAAGCTGCGGTCAGGCCAGATAAGCAACAACATGGGGCCGAATTGAGGCTTTGAAGACAAAGAATATATTGGCGGGTCAGGGAACCAATTTATATGCTTAGATCGGAAAATGTAATTATTGATTTTGTGGCAGTGTTCCAACTGGTCATTGTTAACCAACATATCATGTTACCGACTACAACAACAGCCGCTTCTTCTCTTGGCCCTGTCATTCGACCTCGTATACTCAAAGAACTGAACTGACACAGTGAATTATCCATACTCGACACATGACTAGAGCTGCGCTAGATAATAGTTGTCTATCTGCCCGGCAGCCAAATGAGCTTGAGATCTGATCATGACGGTGCGCCTTATATCAACCTGCTGCATCCAACAAGCGGCTTAGCGAATCTTTCTCGCCTTGCGCTTGTGGCCGACGCTTTTGATCGATCTGCGGGGCCAAAATACTATCATTTTCTCCTTTCACACCTCTCAAGGCGAGGTGTCTTGTTGGTTCTCCGCTGTCGGTTGTCCAAGAGCTCCAATCCGAGCCCCCCCCAGATCGCCTGACGGGAACTTGGAAATAGCATGAACATGGCATGGCTTCCATAAACCTGGCTCGGGGTCAGCGTGCCCCATTCTCACACCGACTGATCTAATCAAAGGCGCAGGGAGTCTTTATCTTTGTTGTCTGTTGGTTGTCTTTGTTGTTGTGTACTCGCACCGCCTCTCCAGCATGATCATGTGTCTTTCACCTTCAGCATATATAGGTAAATGATGCCGGGATGCTCTCACCCAAATCTGGTTCTGTTCTGCGACACACGACATATTAACTTTGTTCAAAAGTGCCGATCCACTCGCCATCTGGGCCGTATCTGGGTCGCATCGTATTCGCACCTTATTTTTGGCTCCATCGACTCTCGGGCCTCGTACTCTCGCGCCACTTATTGCATGAATCCTCGTGGGGTGCGATCTCAGGGCCCATTTCACGGCATCTAGCGATAATTAAAAGAAGACCCCTGTTCCGTCGATTCCAGGCTGTGTACGGAGCACGGAGAACTCGCTTCCCATGGATCTCTCTTCACTTGAAGGGCCCCCGATCCATAACCCCCGGCTCGCCGAACCGGCCTGCAACATGTCTGTTCCTCGGATACACCTCGAGCATACCTTCTTCACCAGTCCAGAAACAGAGGGATTGCACCTCCTGCAAAGACCTGCGTCCGCCGACGCTCATGCCCTTCGCCGAACCAAGTATCTCAACCCTGCCTACATCCGCCACACTGCACAGCCCCGTCTTCGACTCCAAGCTGGCCCACCCGTCGAGTTCGACTCTACTCTCCGGTCTAGTGACAGCCCTAATCACAGTCGCAATCACAGTCACAGCCACAGCCGCAGCTACCGCCACAGTAACTCCGATCTCTCCAGCTTCTCATCGGCGCCGAACCGTCCTCGCAGACTCACTTGGGTCGAAAGCGAGAGTATCTGGGTCGTCACCAGCCCCTCCACCGGCTCCCCGACTACCTCGTCAACATGGGGCGACGTAAACTGGTCCGCGGCCGCCTACCGCCCCCCTCCGCTGCAACATTCTCGGTCAATGGATATGACTCTTGCCCACAGTCAGGCCCACTCGCAGCCGGACGACGACGACCTCCCGCCCCCGTATGAACGGCATTATTTTGATAGACCTCTTCCGCCTCTCCCGCCGGGGGCAGAGATGGATCCGTCGGTGGGAGGTAGTGCCTATAGCCAGAGTACGAGTCTGGATTCAGGTCACAGTCACAGTCACAGTCACAGTCATACTCGCGCATCGCGATGGACGGAGATTGCGCGGCGGATGAACCGCACTCCCGTTGGATGAGCTTTGGGTTGGCATTGCAGACATGTACAGAGTTGTCGCGGGGAGTACTGTGACACACTTGCTACCGCAGTGAGCCCTGAACCGAGCCGGTCGGTTGGTCGAGGCCTCCTGACGAGGACCTCCATAATCCATCCGACTTATTGACGGACACTTCAAGTTGTGAATACGATCGTGTTCTATGTAAAGGTCAATAATCATAACGTTGGACTCAACCGTGTATGAAACGGCCCAGGGCTCTAGCCATCTAGTCAGATATTCACCTTTTGAGGTAGTGAATTAAGAAATGTCATTTCTATTCTGTCAGTCAAGTATCTATTCACTATTCTATAAGGAAGCGTCCTCCCCAAAAGTCCAAGCCGGTACCGGTACGCTTACATCATAATGGGTGTATCTCTAGTATATAAAATCAACCGTCATACCTTACGCACCTTCCACTTTCCCTTACTTTGACCTCACGCTATAATCAGTTGCCCTGCCTATCTTACCTCTTCATCTTACCTGCTTGCTCACTCTGTCTAACATGGAGCTCTCTGCTGGTTCTTCCTCGAATATGGCGTCAGTTTTATGCATACCTATTCCGCTCGGAGAAACAAGCAAGGGCAAGTTTGGCAGTCAATCGGCTGTGGACTTTTCATCAGTAAGGCATTGTTACTAGTATGGATGGAGACTAGCCCATCATTGTCATTAAAATCATATTGAAGCAGACGACTGCTCTTTACATCACATGAACCAAGAATTCCTGTACAATCCCATCCTCCCATCATCTAGTAGACACGGGGCAGAGGCGCTCTCAGAGGCAGCTTACGCGAGGAGCTGCCGACGTGCACTTTCTTGGGGTGCTTGGTGATGACCCAGTCCTGAGCCTCCACATCCCAGTTGGCGAGATCACGACGGTTAAGAGTCGTGGTCCAGACCTTTTGCTCCCCAGGAGCCAGGAAGATTCGGTCGAACTTGCGCAGAACGACCCGAGGCTCATTCGGTCCGCCCAGCGAAACATACTAGAAGCGAGTTAGCCAAAATGCAAGGCAAGGAACATGCGAGTCACTCACCAATTGAGGGACTTCATAACCGGCGACGTTGCCAGTGTTGGTGATGGTGGCCGATACCCTAACAAGATCCTGATAAAGGGTAGGGTTACCACCAGGAGCGCCGCCAGCCTTCAGGAGGGGTTGAGGAGAACCATCCCTAGCGCCTTCGGGAATGTACTCCGAGTCCTCCCAGCCGTAGTTCGGGTCGTCAGAAGAATCCTCGAGGTCGGTCGAGTTGAGCAAAGGGTAAATAAACTTAGTAATTCTCTTGAGACCCTCGGGATACAGGTAGTCGGCGGCACTACCGATCTCGCCATAGGTTGGCGCAGGCTTGGTCTCTCCGCTGGTCGGGACATATGCCGAACTCGAACTATTGAGGGCCTGAACCCGAAGGTGAGAATAACCAAAGGTGGTGTAGCTCAAGCCATGGCCAAACTCATAAATGGGGGTCTCGTTGCGCTTGTCAAAGTGACGGTAGTCGATGAAGACGCCCTCGTTGAAATCATCCTGGGGAGCGCCATTGCCATTGTTAGGCTCGGAGAGCAAGGGAGCACCGTAAGACTTGCGAGTCTTGCCCCAGGTGAATGGGGTCTTGGCGCTGGGGTTGACACGGCCATAGAGCACGTCGACCAGGGAGTTGCCACTCTCCTGACCGGGCAAGCCGGCCCAGATGATGGCGGTGACGTTGGGGTTATCATACCACCGGTCGATCAAGACGGGCCCGACACTGTGAATGACCACAATCGTGTTGTTGCAGTGGCTGACAACAGTGTCAATGACGGCCTCGCCGTTCTTCCAAAGAGTGAGATTTTTGCGGTCACCCTCGTTGCCGTCGACATTGATGTAACCCTCGCCGGAGTCGGCGTTGACAAACACCAAAGAAACGCTGTTCGCAATGGTCAATACTTTGTTCAGAGAACCATTTTTCCAAGAGCCCCCACTCACCTGGATTGAGATGCAACATCTGCCATCTGGCTGAGAGCTCCGTTGTCAGTCACAGCAAAGACATTGCCGCCGTTGCTGATGACCTCTCGCTGGATAGCCTGCTCGGGGGTAACAAGGTAAGGGAAGTTGGCAGTACCACTACCCCAAGCCATAGCAAGAGTGCCGTTGTCACAGCCCCGGTCGGGGCAGCCGTTAGCACCCCACGGGTTGGAACCAGCGTCTTCACCGAGAACACCCACTTTAACCTCCTTGCCGGTCAAAGGAAGAGCACCCTTGTTCTTCAAGAGCACTGTACTAGCCGCACCAATCTCACGGATGATCTGAGAGTGACTGCGCTGCACATTGACGAAGTCGTTCACCTTGGTCCAGGCTCCCTCGGAGACAGCAAAATGCTCCCAGCCGTACTCATCGCGGGTCCAGGAGCTGAAGTTAGGGGGAATACGAAGACGGTCACGGCCAACCTTGTAGTACGCGGTCATGATACGAACAGCCATGTCATCAACACGCCAAGCCGGAACGGTGCCGTTAAGAACGCTGACAGTTAGATTCGTGCCCCAGAAGGAGAGACCGTCGTCGAAGGAAATGTCTCCGGGCATCGACATATCCAACCCAGCGAG